TTAAGTGTCCCCAGGCTAGTGGGCTGCCATTCAAAGATTCTGTTTCTGGAGATGGACATGGAGCCCAAGACAGCTATGATCACCAGGATCCCCCTCTAACAGCTCAAGGGAGGGGCTGCAAGAAGCTGTGCAGGTCACAGAGTAAATTCCAAATGGTAATTGTTCAAGTGCCAGGCTGCCTGAGTCTGACCCACTGGGATGGCAGCTTCATGATGTGAGATCATCCCAGCAAACTCTGGACGCTTAAGGGACACACAGACTGGGTCTTGGGAGGAACGATGTTCCAGGAGCTGGAGCAATGGGCTGCCAATTCCATAAGAGACTATGGATTGAAGCATAGTCCTTCCAGCTATGACAACCTAAGATGAAGATTAAAACCTCTTTCCTTGGACTATTTTTATAGGTGGAGTGCAGAGAGGGAAATAGAGGCTGGGAACATTCTACTGATGCTCAGTCTTTAAATAGAGGTACTGAACGCTCAGGCCTCCACTGCTCTTTGATAAAGTGACCAAAGCACAAATCCACACAATAGGCACTGGACAAATGCCCCTCTAGGGGATGCCCACACTGTGGTGGCTACAGTTAAAGGGATGACCTATAGGTGGTGAATACAGACAGATTCCTCAGAGGCCATGGGGTTTCTATGGGTCCCATGACTTGGTGACATTCCAGAGCAAGGCCCTTCACTATGTTGTTGCTCCCATGGATGGAGAACAGAGGTGGGAGGAAGCCTCAAGGAAGCCAGCCCATCTTCAGTCTTCTCCCTAAACACCCTGGGAGTTAGTCTGGAGGGCTGGGAAAGGCCAGGAGGTGTGATAAAAAACACACACAAATTCTATTGTTTCTGTTTCATGAAGGTTGATAGGTAGACTAAATGTTGAAAACCCTTTCCACTTAGGAATTCTCATGCTATTTTTCTGGGATTCTTTTGAGATTCCATGCTGGAGGGTTCCAGCTCAGAATATAACTACCACTACCATCACCACTTATCAAGGACTACTGTGTGCCAGGCACTGTACTAGGTGCCTTGCAAACTATATTTATTTCTCACAGAAATCTTGCAAAAGAGTTATTAGGATGCCCATTTTGTAGATGAGGAGGTTAGATAACTTGCTCAAGGTCACGTAGTAGGTAGCAGACCAGGGTTCTACCCCAGGTCTTCCTGAAATCAAAGCCAATGTTCTTTGCCTTCCATTATATAACCTTAAACTTTGCCATACACACTGATGACAGCAGTCCTGGGCTTCCATAGTCACCTTCTACCACACTAGTCTGTGGAGAAGTTTAAGGAAGGAAGGCACGGACAGGGTCCTCTTTCTACACTCTTAGTCATATACCTGTGAGGAACACAGTCTCTTAGGTCCCTGTGCACATAGGTGGGAGTTGGTTCTACCAGTAGAGAGCCTGGAACCTTAGAATTGGTGGGCCTGGCTGGACAGGTCTCAGCACTGCAACCCAAGCTCCCAAAATGTCTGAGCTGGAAGGTCCTGAGAGAGGAGTAAACTCCCCTCATATGACTGGTGAAGAAACTGACCCAGGAAGAGGACATGAATTGCTCAAAGCCTCACAGCTATTTAAAAACATTGTGTGTACACGAGTTTGTGCGTATGTACACACAGACATGAGTGCACGCATGCACACACACATGCATCTGTGCACATGTGTATGTGCTGGAGATGGCAGTGGGGGCAGCCTAACTCCTAGGCCCTGTGAATGAGTTCAGGTGAGAAGGCCTCAGAGCCCTTGTCTATATCCAGAGGGGTGGCCCACACAGAAGGCTATTTCAAAATTTTGTTTTGTTTTAACATAAGTCATTTATTTGGGACAAGGTACCTTTATAATGTGTCAATAAGAGAGTTGGGAATGAGACACAGAAAAGAAGGAAACAAATTCATTAAATAATTAGATCATTGCTTTGGCTAACCAGAGCTCCATTGCACTGGGCACTTTGGGGAGATGGCATGGAATGCACCTCAGAGTTGTTTAGGCCAAGGGAGGAGGAAGCTGGTATATTTATCTACCAGCCTCTAGTGTTGCTGGTTTAGGCCTGCTATTGAGTGGCATCAACTCCGCAGAACCTCTTGCCAAGCACACTCTAGCAATCAGACAAAACAAAGGGCTAGTTTCAAAGATATCTGTAGCCCTGCATAGCCACCAGTCTCTAAAGAGTTGAAACCTTTTGGGGTGGAGAGACCTTGGCTGTCAGTTCCAAGGACAGACGTGGGGGAGATGGATGTTGGTAGAGGAGATGGAAGAGACTGGATATTGTCTTCCAGAATCTGGAGGCAGGCTGTGCTCACAGAGGGTAAGGGCTGTTTCCATGGGCCCTGAAGGAAGAACGGGCATATACTTTAAGCAAGAGGAGTTGAAGTCAGAGCTTTAAAAGAACCTCCTGGTGATACTAATTAAAAAGAAAATCGTATCGGATATCTAGAGCTCATCCAACTGTGTAGCTTCATTGGTGGCCACACAAGTATTGACAGAGCAAAGGAATGCACAGTAGCAAAGAAGAGCACCTTAGGGAGTTTGAGGTTCCTGGTTCCAGGGCAGGCCAATGAGCTCTCCTTTATCTGGGGGATGCTGAGAGGACAGATGGAGGTTTAGTGAAGAGAGGCTTCTTCACTCTGCCTCTAGTTATTCTTAGCACCAGGAGGCTCCAACATTGGGTGGAGGCAACAGGAAGAGGTCTCCTCTCTGGTACGATTTGGGGCATTTTAGATGGAGGCAAAGCCATGGAGGAAATAAGCAAGTCCTGATGTTGCCTAGCTCTCTAACTAGGCTCATGCCACCTCCTGGGCCCCTGCTCCTCATCTGTGAAAAAGGGAGACTGGAAGAGTGAACTAGTTGACCTGAGGGCCCCATTCAGTCATGGCCTTCTGTCACTGTCCACTGCAGAGGTCATCCTCTGGTCCTTGGATTCTCTTTAATTCTATAATCAGCAAATATTTATTGAGCACTAATCCTTTGCCCAGAACTAAGTGTGGGAAGAGAACCAGGTGGGATATAGGTCCTGGCCTCTGGGAGGAGACAGATGGGGAAAACAGGAGTTGATGTTTTTTAAAACTTACTCTGCCAGGAACTGTACTAAACACCTTTCATATACTGACTCCTTTACACCCACCCCACAAAACTCAGTAAGCTAGGTACTAGTATCTCCACTACACAGATAAGAAAAAGCAACTTGACCAACGCCACACAGTGGAAGAGCTTGGATTTGAGCCCATACTGTGAGCCATGATACTTCTCCTCCTCTGTGAAATAGACACTGACGCTCTAAGCACAGCTCCTAGTATTCCAGCAGATAAGGCAGTGAAAGCTGGAGTCACCTGGGAAGGCTTCATGCAGGAGATGGCTTAGCACTGGGCCTTGAGGGAAGCGAAGAACTTGGAGGCTGACTGGGGAAGGGAGAAACCTAACTGCATTAACACTCCAGGGCAGGCTGGGGTGTGGCTGTCCAGCCAGCAGGTGTCTTCCTATAGTGGACAGGCAGGCAGCAGCCACAGCTCAGCCTGTTTGGTGGCCTCACGGTAGAAGAGGAGGGCCCAGAGAACAGATGCTTCCCAAACCCAGCAGGGCAAGAACCCTCCTCTTCACAGATACAGCCCAGAAAAGCTGGCACCCACCTGCCCAGAAGGGGCTTTTGCCCCAGCCAGGCCTGTAAACATGACTCCTTCCCCAGACTCGTTTTGGACAAAAGAGGGAGTTGGTCCAGGGTGGGCCAGCTTTCTCCTCACTGTCTAGGCCAAGTATCTGATAACTATGATAGCTAACACTTACACAACAATTACCATGAACCAAGCACTGTTTTAAGAATTTTAACTAACTTAAGCCTTCCAACATTACTATGAAGTAGATACTATTATTATGCCCATTTTATAGATGGGGAAATGGCCCCTTCACCACCCTTCCCACCCCCCTTAGAGGCCCTGGGTACCTGTTTATTCTTTAGGTCAAGGGAGAGTTCGTAATCGGAGGCAGCAGGGGCGTGGGAGCAGAGTGCTGTCGCCAGGGCAGGCTGCTGCCGGCCAGGGGAGGCCCTGCGGTGGGGGCCAGCCCTTGGGGAGGCACCCCCCTCCCCTGGCCTCTCCTCCTCCTCCTGCAGCTCCTGGGCTTGAGCCTTCGGGGCATGGGCACTGGGTCTGCCGGCTGCCACCACGGAGTCCTCCATGCCCCCACTGGCCTGGGCACAGGAGCCGTCACTGTGAACAAAAGGCAACGGTGCTCGGTTGGCGGAGAGTGGGACAGGGTGCATGTGGGTGCAGGGGTGGGGGGAGAACCTGGGCAGTCTGGCAGCAATGGGCCTTTCTAGTGGTGAGGGCTGGTGGAGATGTCTCCTGCAGTCTAAGCCAAGTATCTGATAACTATGATAGCTAACACTTACACAACAATTACCATGAACCAAGCACTGTTTTAAGAATTTTAACTAACTTAAGCCTTCCAACATTCCTATGAAGTAGATACTATTATTATGCCCATTTTATAGATGGGGAAATAGGTACAGTGAGGTTAAGTAATCTTCTCAGAGACCCACTAGCTACTAAGAGGCAGAGCCCACATTTTAACCCAGACAATCTACTCTTTGCCACGCTGCACTACTGCTCCTAAGTAGAGGTTCATGAGCTCTGGCCATAGCTGTTTCTTTCCCTGATGTGGGATACCCTCCTCAAGTTTAGGTCCTCCTCCTTGCCTGGGGCTATTCCATGCCAAGATAGCCCCTTCCCAGATGGGCATAATAATAGTATCTACTTCATAGGAATGTTGGAAGGCTTAAGTTAGTTAAAATTCTTAAAACAGTGCTTGGTTCATGGTAATTGTTGTGTAAGTGTTAGCTATCATAGTTATCAGATACTTGGCTTAGACTGCAGGAGACATCTCCACCAGCCCTCACCACTAGAAAGGCCCATTGCTGCCAGACTGCCCAGGTTCTCCCCCCACCCCTGCACCCACATGCACCCTGTCCCACTCTCCGCCAACCGAGCACCGTTGCCTTTTGTTCACAGTGACGGCTCCTGTGCCCAGGCCAGTGGGGGCATGGAGGACTCCGTGGTGGCAGCCGGCAGACCCAGTGCCCATGCCCCGAAGGCTCAAGCCCAGGAGCTGCAGGAGGAGGAGGAGAGGCCAGGGGAGGGGGGTGCCTCCCCAAGGGCTGGCCCCCACCGCAGGGCCTCCCCTGGCCGGCAGCAGCCTGCCCTGGCGACAGCACTCTGCTCCCACGCCCCTGCTGCCTCCGATTACGAACTCTCCCTTGACCTAAAGAATAAACAGGTACCCAGGGCCTCTAAGGGGGGTGGGAAGGGTGGTGAAGGGGCCCTGCCTTTGGGAGCTGTCCAGGGTACCAGGGATCTCCCCATCTGGGCCCACCTTTGCTGCAACTGCATCTTTTTTGCCAGGAGTTCTTTCAAAAAGAGCTAAGTAATCTGCCCTTCCCCGCAGCCCAGTCTCCAATGTAACCAGCCGCCACATGGTAGGGTCACACCCTTGCAATGCCAGGCCCTTAGGCAGTGTGTCCAGGGCTCTGCTCCTCTTACCATATGGAGGAAGCCTAAACTGCTCCACACAGCATTAGGCAAATGGCCTATTGTTCTCTGGGGAAGTCCCACCTCCACTCACTACTTAGAAGAGATAGCCCAGCTTATATGCCCACTCAAGGGGCAATCCCATGCCTACGCACACACAGGCTCAAATGAAGTTCAAAGACAGTGGTCTCCTGGTAGAGTGAGGATTCCCAAGGTAAACCCAGGTTGGGGCAAGTCCACAGCTTCCCTGCTGGAGAACAAGTCCCTTTGAGGGGTTCTAGGCCTTATCTTCTGTTCTGTGAAGCAGGACGAGAAAGTCATCAGTCATGGGGTCCCAGCTGAACCCCTAAATGATAATGCCACAGTTTTTCTTGGTGGACAATTAAGAGACCTGAAGGGAGATCTATAAGTATGTGTATATGTATGTACGTGTGTGTGTGTGTGTGTGTGTGTGTGTGTCCATATGCATACGTGTATGAATGTGCTTAGAGAAAGACATTATGACTTGATGTTGCTATGCCTAGTTAAGCACTCTGGGTATTGGTTTCTCATCAGCAAAATTGGGAATCAGATCTTGAATCATCTCCAAGGTCCCTTTTGCTCTGAAATGAGTAGGTCCTAAAGAACCAATCTTTAATACAGTGGACAAGGTGAGTCTCAGGAAAGGAAGCTAATAGAAAGGTCAATAAAACTGAATCAAGCGAAACCAACCTATGTCTTTCTTTAGGCATCAGTGCAAAGCTATTGTCCTGGACCGGGGCCAGCTGCAGTTCGGTGCACCTGGCTCTCAAATGGTATTTGATAAAATCTCTTCTTATAGCTATGCAGACATGATAGAAAGTAGATTAGATCATAATATAATCAGGTGGTTGTTCTCAAACAGAATTCTCAAAACCGTTTATTTTCCATCAGTGCCATTTCCAAGGTGAGTGGGGCACTATCTTGGTCCTGTCTGGTTCAATCATTGTAATGAGGCAGAACTTTCTGATGACACAGCTAATAGGGGACAGCTAATACCTTGATGATAGAATCCAGGATAGAAAGATGGTTTATGTGAAATAAGTCAAATTAAATAGAGAAAAATCGAAAGTTCTGCTCTTCGCTTTGAAAAGCCCACAGCACTAGTATAAGATGGACAGGCTTGGTCCTGGAGAAAGGCCTTAGGGCTTCAGTTCACTGAAAGCTTAAGATGAGTCAACAGACAGTGAAGCAGCTGCCAGGGAAGTGAGCACAGCCGCCTTCACAGGAGGGTAGGCAAGGCCCCAGAATAGGGAGCAGCCGCGGAGCCCCACAGTGGCTACTGCTTGGGCCTGTCTGGAGCCCGTGCTTGGCTTTGGGGCTTTGTTTAATGGGGAAATGAGAATTCTGTAGGATTCTCCAGGATTGGCTGGAGACATATGGTGAAACTGTAGACATGAAGACAAGTTTTAAGTATGGAAGAGCTGGCATGTGATAAAGGGATTAGATGTATTTTCTGTCATTCTAGGCAAAACTAGTGGTACTAATGTATGAAAGCTATAGGAGAGGAAGATTTTAGCTTAATTAACAATTAGAGCTGTTACAAACTCAGAATGTCTTGCTTGTGAAGTAGTGAGTCCGTGCAGTGGCTGGAGCACAGCCCATCTGAACACCACAGGGTGATGGGAGTGGCCAGTTGGCCCGGATGAGGAAGTCCTCTCAATTCCCAGTGACTCTGCTCCTTGGGCACAGAGACCATCTCTTATTCATCTTTTTACCCTCCCCCTAGCATCTAGCAGTGTGTCTTGGACATAGTAAGGGCCCACTGAGTGAATATTTTTTAATAACTATGATGTGCAAAGCAACAAGGAAGGAGGGTACGAAAAGAAAAAAAACATGGTCTCTCCACAAAGAGATTACAGTTCAACTTAAGGAGTGTCCAGTTAATAACAGCACAGAAAACTCATGCTTCAGCTTGTGCAGGAGAATTCCTTTAATGCTGATGACGAGGTGGGAGATAGAGTGCACAGGTTCTGATTAGTACCATGGACACATTTTTTAAAATATATTTTTATTGATTTCAGAGAGGAAGGGAGAGGGAGAGATAGAAATATCAATGATGAGAGAGAATCATTGATTGGCTGCTTTCTGCATGCCCCCAACTGGGGATTGAGCCTGCAACCTGGGCATGTGCCCTTGACCAGAATCGAACCTGGGACCCTTTAGTCCACAGTTCGACGCTTTGTCCACTGAGCAAAACCAGCTAAGGCCCATGGACACATTTTATAGTGGACATGACATAATTCTAATAGATGGGTTTGCACATCAGGCCAGCAGGAGTAGGGCTGGAAAGGTGAGGGTTAGTAGAGGTGACAGGATCCTCATTCGACGTGGACCCAGCCCTGGGAAGGAGCTCACCTCCCTGGCTCAGGTGTCTCTCTGGGCCAAGCTTATCTGGAGGTAGGAGAAAGGAGCGAAAGGGAGTGACAGGCTAGAACAAAGTGATTAAAAACATGGCACACATTTACTAGAGACTGAGCTCTGCTCCTCTCTCTTCTGCAAATGAACTATGTGACCTTGAAAACGTTCCTTAACTTCTCTGGCCTCATTGCCTCACATCTCTTTGGGGCTTTGTACATGCTGTTCCCTTTGCCTCTGCTGATGCTCCTACTCCCTCCACACTTCTGCACTGGGCCTCCATCACTCCTCCTCTTGCTTTGGGACTCACTTTCCGGGCTCCTTCTCCCCCTGGCAGCTCTCCCTGCCCTCCCAACACTGAACTGGATGCCCCTTCTCAGCGTTCCCATAGCCAGGGGTTCCCTGTCATAGCTGTTCCACCCTATATCATCGTTTCCTGTTTACTTGACCCCCTCTCAGAAACAGGGCACCTGACTTATATCCCCAGTGCTGGGCATGGTGCCCAGATCAAGAAGATGCTGGAAAGATGAAAAGGGGAAAATGATAACTCAGTGACCTGAAGGGGGATGGGGATAGGCATGAAGCCTTCAGCCAGGACCTGACTCTAGTTTTCTTTGAGATCTTGGTTTTAGTATTCTGATCCCATGATTTGCACCAGTCACACAAATCCTATAGATCTTGGGCTGGAAGGAATCTTGGACAAGCATCATCCCTCCAGGCCCCAAACCTGCCAGCCCTACTCCATCAGCCAATCTAGAATCCCAGTCACTTTCCATGGCTCCTCTCTCTCCCCTGCATCTGCTTCAACCCCACACCCCACTGATGCTACCTCTCAACTATTTTCCAAATCCCACCCTCTCCTGCCACCTCCTGCCTCTACTCTAGGCCAGCCCACTACCATCTCTGGCCTGCACCCCTGGACAAACCCCCACAGAGCTCCCTGAAGGCTGTGCCTCTCCCAACTATCTCCACACTGCAGCTGAGTCCTCCTTATAAAGATCATCGTATTCCCCCCATGGTACTTCCATGGCCCCTCATACATGTAAGACAAACTCTTCTCCAGGCTCTTCTATCACTCCATGTCCTGGCCCACTCAGGGTTCCAGCCATTCCTATGTACCTTTCTCTGTCTCCATGCCATCCTTTGCCTTTGGGCCTTCACATATTTTGTTTGCTGGGAATACTCCCCACCTGTCCCCCAGTCACCTTCACCCGGGTGATCTCTCCTCACACTTCAGGTCTCAGCCCTGCTCTCCGAGCCTGGCTGTATGCTTTCACTGGGTGTTCCACTGCTAGTGCTGCACTGTCTGGTGGCTGTCCCACTCTAGGGCAAGGACTATGTCATCCTCAGGGTTATCAAGGAGTTCAGCAGCTTGTGCACTGAACACCTCCAGGGGTGCTATTCACTTCATAGTCTGTGTGAGGAGCAAACACTCCCTAGAGCTGGGCACTAGGTGCTGCCCTGCTCTTTCCCACCATTGTTTTCCTACACTCAGCACAGTCTCTGGTGCCTAGGAAATGCTCAGTATTGAAGGAATACGTGAATGAGGCCTGCCCCAGGCTTCCCTACTCTCCCCGCCTCCCAGTACCTTCCCCATAGTCACACAGTGAGCAAGCCCTCCTGCAAGCTTCTCTCATCCTCTGCTCCCTCTCCCCTCGCTCACTTCCCTCACAATGAACCTTGGAACTACAACCTTGAGGGACATGCAGGTCGCTTTGGGGGACCTTTTAGGAAAGTGGCTGTGGTGATTTCCAAATTCATTGAGGCTCTCTAGAGAGTTGCATCCTGTTCCTGCCACTGTTGGAGCCCATCTCAGATGTCCGTATTACATAGCTCTCTGTGCTGTCCAACCAGGGCCATGGAGCTGTAGTCAGCGGCATCCAGGTCCTGTTCCCCAAATTAAAGTCCTGGATGGAAGCCATGTCTCTTCTGGAAAGCAGCCCTTTCCCCAGTGGGTCCCCTATACCCAAGGCTCAGGGTCTGGCCTCACTACGGGATAACTCTCAAGGGGAGAAGTGCTGGCTTCCAATTCTCTGGGCCTCAGTTTCCTCATTTCATCTTAATAACTATGATGTGAAAGGAGGGGTTTACCAGATGTATCTGAGGACCTGCTCACTCTGAAGGTGAGAGCTCTCCCATGGGAATGAGGAGGGAACCCAGGGGACCAGCTGATGGCGAAGCACATCAGGGTTCCCTCCGCTCAATTGCATTCAGTGCAGCTGCTCTGTTCAGGGCCTGTGAGAGGCCTGGGGACACCACGATGCAAAAGACACAGTCCCTGTGCTCAGGGAGCCCACAACCTAGTGGTGGACACTGACATGTAACCAGTACTAGCTGGCATGAAGGGCACTATGTGTTGGGCATAGTACTAGG